ATAGACCTGTTTCCACGAGGTTCAACAAACAACTACAGACGTTTGTCTCGCCAGTTCCAGATACTCAAGCCTGGGCAACAGATGCACTGAGCATGTCATGGGAAGGACTAACGCCTACGTGTTTCCACCCCAATATTACTTCCAGAAGTACTGTTCAAGATCAAACAGACTCAGGGCCTACAACTAACTTTGGTCGCGCCTCTACTGGCCAGCGAGAGTATGGTTCCCAGACCTAATAGAAGATCTCGGAGTCCAGTAATCAAGTTACCAGATTGGCCGAACCTACTCATACATCTGCACACCAAGGCAAGTCCACGGGAACCCGACAATTATTCCAGCTACATATGTGGACCGTATCAAAACAGGCTTGAAGAAAGAGGATACTCCGCCAGGGCAGCGTGAGGCAGTAACCCTCTCGTTATGCAGATCTACTCGTAACCTGTATGATGACAAATGGCTGAAGTTTGGAGACTTTTTGCAAGGCGGAAAGGCTTCACTCGCGATGATAGCTGCTCATCCTCAAGTGGGGAATATCTGTGTCATCTTAGACAGACCAGACATTTGAAAGGTTTGACATTATCTACATACCTCTACGCCATCAGTACAGTGATTACCATGAAAAACAGGCATCAAGTTGACGAAAGTACCAGAATTACTTGCTTTGCTGAGATCTTTTAAACTGGAGGACCAAAGCTAAAAAATTCAGAGTTCCAGCCTGGGATCTGAATGTAATTCTACGATCATCTTACGGTGATGTCTACGAACCACTAGACCAGACTACTCTCGAGCTGCTGACACAGAAGACTCTGTTCCTGCTTGCGCTAGCCACGGCAGCCTCGAATATCAGAGATACATGCGCTGGACTTTGGTCGAACCATATATTCGACAGGGGGCAACATACTGCAGTTCATGTAGGACTTAGATGGGACTTCATTGTCAAGAACCAACTACCTGGTTAGCCAGATAGACAGATCCACGTACCAGCGCTATCTACAATCCTCGGTCCACAGGATATAGAGGACTTATCCTTGTGTCAAGGTCAAAGCCCTGAAGATATATCTTCAAAGACTGAGACAAAGGAGACAAAATTCAAGCGCCTGTTCATCCCATTATCAACAGAGACATCAGCAGAGGTCTCAAGAACGACCATATATGGTTCTGGATGAGAGCCGTCATATTGAGAGCCTATATTGAGAAGTACAGGACGTATCTAAGGACAGCTGATGAATCCACGAAGTGGCTTTTGACCCTACACCAATCCGTCGGATTCTATAAGCAAAAAGATCATGAGTCAGGATATATAAAAATATGTAATTTGTTAAGTAAAATTGATATTTTTATATACTATCCCAAAAAGAAATGCATCATGAAAATAGCAATTTCATGTAGCAATGAATTAAAACGTGATTCATTTTACAAAAGGTTTTGCTCTGTTTATGAGTCCTTGGTGTTTATGTTTTGAAACTTCACAACAAAACGCACCATCCGTAAAATACCCGTATTTAACAGCATGATTTTCAATTTCGGCGTGTAGTGTCACAGAATACACAATTCACATGCAATGCACGTGAAAGTTGGGGATCAGATAGTCTCAATGATGGGTATAAAAGATTGATCGCTGTCTGTCGATTATTCACTGTATTTGGAATATTGTTGACGAACGCAAAATGCCACGTCTAAGTGAAGCCAACCGTCATATCGCCATTGGTTTGCTTGAAGCTGGCCAGTCTCAACGTGCAGTTGCCCGACGCATGAATGTTCACCAAAGCACCATTTCACGGCTCTGGGAGAGATATCGCCGGCAGAATGCGGTAGCAGATGCCCTCGTAGTAAACGATAAGCGACCTCGAAGCGACTCGAGGCGCAGGATCGGTACATCCGGGTACATCACCCGCGTCATCGAAAAGCTACGGCGACCAGTACGGCTCGACAAATACCTGGATTGAGGAGGCTTTCTGCACAGACCGTCAGGAACAGGTTGAGAGAGGCTGGTTTACGTGCCAGAAGACCTTATTTAGCCCTGTGCTTCGACAACAACATCGTCGACATCGAGTTCAATGGTGCACCAACGTTCAGGCCTGGAACCTACCGAATTGGCGTAGAATCTGGTTCAGTGATGAATCACGATTTCTATTAGAACGACGCGATGGAAGAATGCGGGTGTACAGACGTCGACGTGAACGTTTCGGCTGACGCTTGCGTTCCCCAGGTGGACAGATTCGTCCGGGACAGTGTTATGATGTGGGGAGCGATCACCTGCCGTAGGAGAAGTGATTTGGTGATTGATCCAGGGCAACCTGACAGCTCAACGGTACTGTGACGAAATCCTACGCCCACACCTCCTTCCAATCATTGATCGCCAGAGGGAGTTGTTTCAACAGGACAATGCCAGGCCCACACAGCACGTCACACTAGAGACCTCCAGAACCACAACATCAATGTGCTCCCCTGGCCCTCAAGATCACTGGACTAAAACCCGATCGAACATCTGTGGGATGCCCTGGACAGACGGCTGCGACGCTGTAACCCTCAGCCCAAGACACTTCAGCAACTTCGCACAGGCACTCCAGGGGCAGAGTGGGCTGCGATTAGGCAACACGAGATTCTGAGACTTATTCGTTCGATGTGACCTCAAACTGACTTTTCTCGAGAGTTGGTGCATTCCCAGTGTGCAATTTCGCTATATTTCATTGACTCATAAAGCCTACAAGATGTTTCAAAATAAACATAAAATACAGTTGAAATTCCTATATGCGTTTCTTTTTGGGGAGAGTATACTTATCCTGACCCATGACGAGAAGCCCTCCCAACCTCCCCGTTGAAGACACTTTGGATTTCACAGCAGATCCAAGTGCATGGGCAGAAATTCAGGAGAGAGTGACAGGTAAGGCAGGTCACATGACTGTTTGCGCGGGAAAAGGGCAAAAGGAGGCAACTCGTGGGTGAGTGTATTTTTACGTCCGCTTCGGGAACTTCAAGGGATTCAAGTGTTCCACTACCATTCGCAAAGGAAAAGGAGATAAGCAAAAGATTATGAGTCAGGATAGGTATAAAAATATCAATTTTACTGAAGAATTACATTACTATCATATCAACATTGAATGACTCCGACATATCTCCCATTGTTTTCACTCGTAAATTAAAATGAATTCCCTTACATTTTTTAAGAGTAAATGTGCGGGAACACAAGTGAAACCCACGTGCTACTCTTGCATCGGTTTGCTTTGCCAACGTTCGCTGGTCGTCCAAGATTGGCTATTATTTACTGTCTGTGTTCAAGTCTGTGTGAAGATCTGCCATAATACGCCGCGTTAGGTGAACCACGGGCGAGTCTTAACGCCCAGTTAAAATTGAAGGTGCAAGGGTTTTGTAGTCAGTTTTATGTTTACTTGCTAAAACGAATCGGCTTCATATTTTACTTGAACCGCGAAAATTGCGTTTTGAAGTTCATATTATTAAGTACAAATTCCCCCAACAGTGTGCAAATAACCTTCACATGAGTGTTTCTGATACCGGAAAGTAGATAGTTCAAACACTCAACCGTTGTTGCAAGGAGGACACCTGTCTCAACCTCGATAATGCAGGGAAATAAATGGCTGCATCAACTAGGGTTCCCGTGCCGGCTCTACACGCAGCCGATTGGGCGACGCTGCCAAGTCAAAGACCACCAAAACTTTCCGGAGAATGTAGAGACCCCCAACACTGCAGCCTTATGCATTACCCAGAATGTCGGAAGGACTGTTTACCTTTCAGTAAAGGCGGATAGTCTCCCATTAGCAGTAAACAGGTACCAAACCTAAGGCACCAAGAACAATGGGGATTTGGACAACTTACTAATAGTACTAGGAAGACAACCGAGACACTTCGTAAGCCAAGTATGCATATGTGCTGTTTTTCCTTAATCTTGTCAACCATATTTGTGTCAGATTCATTGAAATAAAATACTTTCAGTAGTTTTATCAGACGGCACATGTCAGATTTGTTGGCTTAGATTCTTCTGAGGCTGTATACGGGCCTATTTTAAAGAATATGTTATCATTATTAAATAATATTTTGTCATAAATATACACGTTTCATTGGGAACAGAAAAGGGTGGTTCATTAATTATGTTATAGAATTTTGTGGCAAGTTTATGTCAGATGATATTTTCATGCATCATTCAGTTAACTAAATGATTTTGAACAAGGTCATGCCAAGACCTAGTGGTAATCCGAGAACTAACGCCTTCTGTCGAAGTATAGCTTCTGAGTCATTAGCATCAGTGACAAAGAATTCCAGCGCTGTCGCAAGCACAATTATTCGATTTTGGAAACGACTCCGGCAGTGTTGCGCACTTAGAGATCGTTCAAGTCAGAGAGTCTCGCAACAGCCCAGCATCACCACATCTGAACCCTTCATCTTCGAAACTCACAGCAATGTACAGTGCGAACTTCCGTACCTGCACATACACTGTACGTTAACGTTAACCAACTGTCCAAATAAGGGCAGGGAGACCATATATTGATCTTATTTTACCCTATCTCAATCAATTTCAATGGCTGCAGTGATGCAGTAATCTCTTATGGAAGACATTGTTCAAATCCAGAGTTGAATTAACTTCCATTTTCGTCAATACATTATTTTACTTCGCATTTACAAATGCATTCATACTTCGCGTATCGCATCAACAGCCTTCTTGAAGTCTCAGAATGAGTCTCTTTTTTATCTTTTTAGAAGATTCTGATATTAAAAACCTTAGATCTTGTTGATTTATATAATTTTCAACGTTACTGATGTGCTTTCAATCAAACAAACTTCATAACAGAACCGTGGACTGCTGGAGCGGACGTGAATCTGATAAGTGAGAGTATGTCCAGACGGATCATTTCCCTATAGACCAAGGACCTTACTAAACACTTCACTAAAATGCCGGAAGAGTCTGCTTGAAGCATCACAATAAATGGTAGAACCTGGTCCACTGGTTAAGGTGTCGCTATAACTCTAGTCATAACATTTTGCAGATCCGTCAGTGTGTGGAGCGGGCTTCACTATAACCCTAGTCTGAGCAAGTTCCAGTGGGGAGACGGGCAGATACTTCACTCTGCGGATGGTCTGTCATGGCAGGGTGGACAGCCGGATCTTTCTCAAGGGATGGAATGTGCCTACATGAAGCACATCTCTGGATCCTTCATCTACAAGATGACGTCCTGCAAGACACAAATTGCTGCACTGTGTGACGGTGAACTTGTCACTGAAGGTAGGTCATGTCAGACGAGTGTCGCTGCACTGTGTGTCGGTGAAGGTAGGTCATGTCAGACGAGTGTCGCTGCACTGTGTCAGTGAACCTGTCGGTGAAGGTAGGTCATGTCAGACGAGTGTAGCTGCACTGTGTGACGGTGAAGGTAGGTCATGTCGGATCAGCGTCGCTGCACTGTGTGTCGGTGAACCTGTCGGTGAAGGTAGTTCATGTTGGACGAGTGTCACTGCACTGTGTGTCGGTGAACCTGTCAGTGAAGGTAGTTCATGTCGGACGAGTGTCGCTGCACTGTGTGTCGGTGAAGGTAGGTCATGTCGGACGAGCGTCGCTGCACTGTGTGTCGGTGAACCTGTCGGTGAAGGTAGTTCATGTCGGACAAGTGTCGCTGCACTGTGTGTCGGTGAACCTGTCAGTGAAGGTAGTTCATGTTGGACGAGTGTCACTGCACTGTGTGTCGGTGAACCTGTCAGTGAAGGTAGTTCATGTCAGACGAGCGTCGCTGCACTGTGTGTCGGTGAAGGTAGGTCATGTCGGACGAGCGTCGCTGCACTGTGTGTCGGTGAACCTGTCGGTGAAGGTAGTTCATGTCGCACAAGTGTCGATGCACTGTGTGTCGGTGAACCTGTCGGTGAAGGTAGGTCATGTCGGACGAGTGTCACTGCACTGTGTGTCGGTGAACCCGTCAGTGAAGGAAGTTCATGTCGGACGAGCGTCGCTGCACTGTGTGTCGGTGAACCTGTCAGTGAAGGTAGGTCATGTCGGACGAGTGTCGCGGTGAACCTGTCCGTGAAGGTAGGTCATGTCAGACGAGTGTCGCTGCACTGTGTGTCGGTGAACCTGTCAGTGAAGGTAGTTCATGTCGGACGAGTGTCGCTGCACTGTGTGTCGGTGAACCTATCAGTGAAGGTAGTTCATGTCAGACGAGTGTCGCTGCACTGTGTGTCGGTGAACCTGTCAGTGAAGGTAGTTCATGTTGGACGAGTGTCACTGCACTGTGTGTCGGTGAACCTGTCAGTGAAGGTAGTTCATGTCGGACGAGTGTCGCTGCACTGTGTGTCAGTGAAGGCAGGTCATGTCGGACGAGCGTCGCTACACTGTGTGACGGTGAAGGCAGGTCATGTCGGACGAGCGTCGCTGCACTGTGTGTCGGTGAACCTGTCGGTGAAGGTAGTTCATGTCGGACAAGTGTCGATGCACTGTGTGTCGGTGAACCTGTCGGTGAAGATAGGTCATGTCAGACGAATGTTGCTGCACTGTGTGTCGGTGAAGGTAGGTCATGTCGGACGAGTGACGCTACACTGTTTGTAGGTGAACCTGTCGATGAAGGTAGGTCATGTCTGACGAGTGACGCTGCACTGTGTGTCGGTGAACCTGTCGATGAAGGTAGGTCATGTCTGACGAGTGACGCTGCACTGTGTGTCGGTGAACCTGTCGATGAAAGTAGGTCATGTCGGACGAGTGTCACTGCACTGTGTGTCGGTGAAAGTAGGTCATGTCGGACGAGTGACGCTACACTGTTTGTCGGTGAACCTGTCGGTGAAGGTTGGTCATGTCGGACGAGTGACGCTGCCCTGTCTGTCGATGAACCTGTCAGTGAAGGTTGGTCATATCGGACGAGTGACGCATTGTGTCTCGGTGAAGGTAGGTCACGTCGGACGAGAGTCGCTGCACTGTGTGTCGGTGAACCTGTCAGTGAAGGTTGGTCATGTCGGACGATTGACGCTTCACTGTTTGTCGGTGAACCTGTCAGTGGAAGTTGGTCATATCGGACAAGTGACGCATTGTGTCTCGGTGAAGGTAGGTCACGTCGGACGAGTGACGCTGCACTGTGTGTCGGTGAAGGAAGGTCATGTCAGACGAGTGTCGCTGCACTGTGTGTCGGTGAACCTGTCAGTGAAGGTAGTTCATGTCGGACGAGTGACGCTCCAGTTGTGGTGAACTTGTGTTTTTGACGAGTTACACTGTCATTGACAGGTATTACGTTCTTTGTGCTCATTGACGACAGACACATGGATGCTGTGACGACTGACGAGTGCCAGAATGATGAACTCGTCATGTGGTGATCTTGTGACGTCTGACGATTGCCAGAATGATGAACTCGTCATGTGGTGATCTTGTGACGTCTGACGATAGCCAATATGATGAACTCGCCATGTGGTGAGATTGTGACGACTGACGAGTGCCAGAATGATGAACTCGTCATGTGGCGATCTTGTGTTTTTGACGATTGCCAGAATCATGGACTCGTCCTCTGGTGAGATTGTGACGACTGACGATTGCCAGAATGATGAACTCGTCATGTGGTGATCTTGTGACGTCTGACGATTGCCAGAATGATGAACTCGTCATGTGGTGATCTTGTGACGTCTGACGATTGCCATGATGATGAACTCGTCATGTGGTGATCTTGTGGCGACGGACAAGTGTCAGAATGATGAACTCGTCATGTGGTGATCTTGTGACGTCTGACGATTGCCAGAATGATGAACTCGTCATGTGGTGATCTTGTGACGTCTGACGATTGCAATGATGATGAACTCGTCATGCGGTGATCTTGTGGCGACGGACAAGTGTCAGAATGATGAGCTCGCCATGTGGTGAAATTGTGACGAGTGCCAGAATGATGCACTCCTCATGTGGTGACTTTGTGGCGACGGACAAGTGCCAGAATCATGAGATCAAAATCATTTGGCACCAGAATCAGTTGTTGTGTTGATTAATGTGTGACACATCGATGGTTCACAGTTGTTGTGACCTCGTTGAACTGATTGACGAATGACACAAGACACTAAGTCCAAGATCATCAAAAATGGTTTAAGAAATGTTACAAATTATGTTTGCATCTTTCCAAATTATTGTCGTTGTACAGCATCAGTAATTATTCTTGGACATGAGAAGAGCTTTTCCAGACAGTAATCTTTCAGAAAAACATTCTATTCTAGTTTTAACTAAATTTGTTAGATTGAATCTACCAAGTTCACCATACAAACATGACATTTGGAGTACTTTTTCTGAGTGAGGTTAAAGACTTCAAAAGCGAAGGTGAACATTGTCAATGCCAGATAAATTTTTCGTTGCCCCAAATGTCGCAACAGTACAAAAGTATTGGTACGACAATACTGTCAAAAGGCGCAGTTGCCAACCGAACGATTAAATTTCCACCTTTACCCACAACACTGCAAGATCTTGGTTGCCTGGTTTATTTGTTTTGTATTGGCTGACGAGGGACACAGTGAAACATATGTTTGAAATGAGAATGGTTTTAACGCGGACATATTTGTTTCTGCACAGACCTGCCCAGAGCTTGGCCATCTTTCCTGAGGTACACAAAACGGAATTCCACCGAGTCAAACCAAGGTATGTTTTTTTTAGACACTATAAATACACGCACATTCTGCTTTGGTCATTTACCACCATTTCTGTTGAAGGATTGTGTGATTTGCTTTATTGTTCCTTCACGATAGCAGGTTGAAGGACTGAGTAACGTATTTTACGTTCAGCACGAATCTGTTGCTGTTACACCTACAAACGACATCTGTTCAGTCGTGATTGGAACCAATGGTCTTTGGTTACTGTAACTGAGGGCATTCTGCGCACCACAAATACATATTACGCAAATGCTCTCACGTTAAATGCCGTTGGAATAATAGTTTATTTCTTATATCACGAGTAAGCTCCACAATATTGTGGGAAGCAGTTTGAAAGTTAATTCAAATACAGTTCGAGATATGGATAGTTTGACTATTGCACATCAATGTGAGATTTCCTTTGATGTAGGCATGAAACTTTTCCAGTGGCATTCTAGAAGTGTGTGAGTACCGTCACCGAATGAGATGTCTGGTAAGACAATCTTTCCTTTAGATTTCACGACGTCGACTCTGGTGAGTGAGGGAGTGAGTTTAGTTTTACGCCGTACTCAGCAATTTACCAGCTATATGGCGGCGGTCTGTAAATAATCGAGTCTGGGCCAGACAATCCAGTGATCAACAGCATGAGCATCGATCTGCGCAATTGGGAACCGATGACATGTGTCAACCATGTCAGCCAGCCATCCCACCCGATCCCGTTAGTCGCCTCTTACACGTCGACTCTAAATAAAAACAACAACTAAAATGACAAACAAATATAACCCACACAAACAACAACAACGACAAAACTCTAGTCTGTAGCAACTCTAATACTAAAGTTAAAGGTCACATGCAGCCAAAAAAACCATACAAAATTAAAACACAATTATCACTAATTCATGACATATAATATACATTTCTGATTATGAAAAGACAAATAAACAAAATTATAAAACATTATTAAACACAATCGCAAATCAAAAGTGCAATATTTTGTAGTTGGGTTTACTTCCCTCGAAACGAATACCGAACCGGGATACCGAACACAGTCAAAGCGGGTGGGCGTGCATTTAAGTGTAACGAAGCCTTTCATTGGCTGGTTCATTTGCCGATATACCCAGGGCTCTTTGTGTGTGTATAGAGATGTTGGATTTTGTAAATACATGGTCATTTTTGTGTATAGCATTTTGCAATCAACAGACATCATAACATGTCATGTGTACAAGTATCACACCTGCCCGTCTGTGTAATTACATAATGTGACGATGAAAAAAACCCCGCAAAATCGGAGTTCAAACGATTCAGTAAACTCATCCCAGCTTGGGTGAAAAGTGGTTTCAACAGCTGTGCTGTGCTGCACTGCGCTCATGGAAGCGGGATGTCTCGGAGTAGGCTTTGATGTGAGCTATATTTCTAATGTTGTCTTGATATTTCACAGTCGCGAGCTTTTTATATGTTATGACAGGAGAATACCGATTTAACTGTTTATATAATTTTATTTGACTATTTCACCACACGTTCTTCTTACCGAGTCACTTTTCAGTTCGATACTTAACATCAACCTCATTATTTAGCATTGTCAGAATTTCTAACTGTTATATAGATATGACTCTGTCACAGACAAAACTCACAAAATTGACACTTATGTGTCTGCCTTCCTGTCTGTTAATTACAATATGCAATACACAACTTGGATCACTGACCACATGTAATTTGAACTTAACACATATCAGGCTATACACCATAAACAAAACGCATTGATACACCATAAACAAAACGCACAATGTGTGTGTGTGTGTGTGTGTGTGTGTGTGTGTGGAAAATGCTCAATTTAGCCGAGGACGGAGGAAGTCATGCATTCAAATGCATTCAAATTCATGCAATTAAATGAGTGAGCATTAGAGCATTCAGTGTAAATACTTACGTTTTCTTTGATGTATTGACCCCCGTCTTAGGAATCATGCATATTTAGTTTCAATAGCAAGTTATTTTGAACACAGAATTTTAAAATCTGTCATAAACCTAGTATTGTGAAAAAAAGATTGCGACAGCTGTGTTGAAGCGAAAATTCGACCGAACACGTTAAGCTCCTTCATAACAATGCAGTTAATGGATGCGTTCACATGCAAAAGCCCGCGTCTCGGCTCACCTTTGGCCACAACACCCAGCGTCAGAAAGTTGTGATTGTCAGGGCATTGCCTATCCCACGGTCGAGATCAACAAAAATACCGTCATTTGGACAGCCAAGGAGCAGCAGTTCTAGAACCAGTGGTTCAAAAGATAATCCACATGACGACATCAGATTGGTCAGAAAAATCCCGGATGTTTTCAGTTGAAAACAAATTTCCGGTTTATTTAGGGCAAATACCAGCAAGTCGCACTACACCCCGATTGTCGTGTTTCTACAACCGGATTTGGAAAATGGTACTTCTTTGCTATCAAGATCTGTTGAAACTTTTTGAAGCATTAACACGCAGACCGGGTATTTCACCTTCAAACAAAGATCAAACTGAAAGTTACATTAAAACAATGAATAGTTTCACCTTTAGGATTTTCATGGGCTTCCAGTAACTACAGCATTCTTGTGACATTACATATACCACTACTATCAAAGCATTGTTGCATACCATTTAATAATTGTCAATATACGTTGGTTTCCTCTTGACGTGTCTCTTGCTTTGGAGTACTTAGACACCAATGATGAGTTAATCTGTATGTGGCATTAATGTACTTTATCTTCAAACATTTGCGTCCGTGTGGGTCAAAGTAATCATGACGAAGGGATCGGATTTTACAGAGGAACACGTGTTAGGTCAATGAAATAACGGAGGAATGTCCCATTTAGCAACAAGTTGGTTTTCTAGTTGAGAGGAGCAATTGGTAGATGCAGAGTGTACGTTGAAGTCGTGAATATTACAAACAGAAATGTGTACAGTAGGGAGCGATGGGAACGTGATAGACACATGTCTTGTCTGGGAATTATAATTTGTCAGGATGCGTAATATAATAGTGCAGGTCATACCGTAGGCCAGTTTCAGGTACAGCCCAACAAATGTTCCCTCTCACTAATTCGTAGAGCAAAATTGTGAAAGTTGTTTGTGATAGCAATTGTGAGGGGGTTCACCCTCTATATTACTGAATTCGTTGCTAATACAAATGTTGTCATACTTATTGTTTCAAATTGGCTCGTATCACATTGCATGTCGGAACTAAAAGCACATATTCGCTATGTCCGGTTGTTCACAATCATTATCATGTTAAATCTGTGTAAACTAGGAAATGCTAAAGGGCCACTGATTCAGAGCGCTTAATCTTTCTCGCCAACAGTCTAATTACCAAACCTAGCTGCAAACTGGTCAGATCCTGCTCCCTCGACCGTGACGGACTCAAGGACTGGGCTACTGTCCACCTTGGCAGAATTTCTTCAACCTAATCAGTGGGACATTAGGAAGGGTGGATGCCAATCAGATGCCGTTATTTGAATATATCCCTGGTAGTTCTTGTCTGATTGTAATGAAGTATCCCAGCCGTGTAGGCTTTTTCAGATTTTCAAATGTTTCGATGGTATTGTGATTGATCCAGTTTGATTCTATTTCTGTGTTTTTACCTCGATATTTAATCATGTAAATATATGATGTCTATTACGTATGCTATGATATCAAAACACACATTTGATATATTTGAATCCATAAACTAAACAACCCCACTTTGCCATTGCCAAAAAAATCCGAAATTTTACTTAGGTACATAGGTATATACAGTTTCTAACTAAGTACACAGCAAATGCTTATATATATTTCTTATGTAACAATGAATTTCCGTTCGTATCCTCAACAGTGTCGGCCCATAAGTTGTTTTTTTTTTAGGCAATCAAAATTGCATGCAATACAGCGATTACTACTCTCTTGCTGTAACCCTTGTTTGGTGGTAAACCTACACATGTTATTTGTCATCATTCACTTGATGTTCAGTTAATGAATTTATAAAAGGTATAATTAGTGATAACACCACTCAGATTACCCGACAAAGGTTCCCATTTGGCATTTCTTGTGTCTGGAGTAAATACTCATCATTAGAAATGGAGGTCTGATGTGGCAAATGTATTACATCTTATGTAATATGCGCATGGAAGTACAGTAAGAGGAATTATCAGCTGAGTTACAAAACAAACATCGATCAAAGGATTAACCGATAACACGCTGATTGATTAATTGCTTTTATCCTGTACAGCGGATTTGTCAAAAGGTAGTGTTTATGTATGTAGATTTACTATTCTATACTGAATACACCCTGTCGTAAAGTCTCCTTGTGAAAACAACGTCCTTCCTTCAAAGGATTAACCGCCAATGCATTGATTGATTGCTCATTATTGGCTAACTAAATTACTTTTTTAAAGAATGTCGGACATCATGCAATTAGTTGCCAGGTGTGCTATCTTGGGTGACCAATGGGACTATATACCAATATGAAAAACCTGAAACGATAGATCACTTTTTCGCATATTAGACTGTTAAAAGACACATGACATGAAACAGGATACTTTGTCAGCTGCAGATGAATGGCATCTCATTCCTTTATGTGGATATTGATGGATACATTCCCCTAACAAGGTAATAGCCTGATATGTTTTAATTTTAATATTTGCATTTTGTTTTTTATTTATTTGTTATGGCATTCAACAGAATCATTTTTTGTTGTTGTGAAGTGTAATGAGACAGACAACATACACTAGGTCGCACTTTGGGCGTGTGTGTGAAATATGATACACGTTGGCAAACTATAAGATGTCTAGATATTACAGTCATGTTATAAATTCACTAAGTATAACCAGATCGTGTGCATTTTATTAAGTTTCAAACTGCATACAAATATCATAATAAACTAATTAGGATTATAAGACAAAATATAAAGACGTACATTGACGTCGCTATTTCAGTCCTAACATTTTTTTACCACTGGCAGATGGTTAAACTTAAAATGTTTTCATTTGTTATCAAAATAATGTCATTTAATACCACATTCAGATTGACTAGTAGTGAACCCGACCTCACTACTCTCCCCAGAAGATTTAGTTAGCCTTACTTTCAAAACAATGCTATTAGATCAGGCTTCTCACCAAATTCAAGGTCAAACTATTTCTTAAATCAAATTCTACATCCATTTACGTTAACATTTTTATACTATGAAATCAAAATTTTACATCAAAATCAGCATTTTTATCAAAGTGAATATATTTTTTATAAGAAACCAAATTATTCAACAAAGTCTACATAATTATACAACAAAATCAACATAACATTATCGAGTAAAAAATATTCATCTTTGTTGATCAGTCTATACTTATACTATCAATTGCGTATGAGGGTGGCGCAGCAGAGGTAACGAACCCGTCATGAATTCTGGGATGTCATCCGGGTACTCACGGGAGAAAAAACAAGCAACAACCAGTCCACGGAAATTGCTCTGGATCAGTGCCCCTTTAAAGGAGAATACTAACGAAAAAAAAACTTTTAATAGATGTAAAGGCATTCTAAAAGTCACCTTCCGTGATTAAAATTGAACAATAAATTTGTAAAATAGCAATAAACACACAACAAACGCACTATTTCCGCCTATTACGGAAACACCCGACAGTTAATGAGCAGAGGGCGTGACGTGATGTGACGTCATATGTGCATGTTGCTGATGGCTTTCTCTTTGATTTTACCTCACAACAGTGTCCATGGATTCTGAAGCAATAAAAGATGATCCTGATGTCATTTCTGAAATGGATGTTACACCGTATCAATACGATCCGATGTTACATCTTGCAAGCCAATGCAGATGAAGAAGAAGAATCACGCGAAACGGAAGCACCGCTTTATATCAAAATAATTTTTAAAATGTGATAGTTTCAGCCAGCAAGCCCACCACTATAGATAAATGACCAGTCCCTAAAAAAATATGTTTGTGAAATGTGATTGCAATTCCTTTTGTGTCAAATGGGTGACTGCAGGGTGTCTGGGATTTAAAAAATGATTATGTTTCAGACAGGGGGAAAATATACATTATCTTCTACAAACAATGCACTGGAAATATGTTGTTGAAAAAAAAATAGGATCCTAGTTCTTATTAATAACGTATCATGTTTCCATACAAGATCCCAGCCTGTTCGAGCAGAGTTAATATAAGCGACGCAGATAAGTTATTCTCCGAAAACTGATGAATTATATAATACTAGTCAGGACAATGTATATTTCCCTAGTTTTTTCATATGTACATAGTTATTGTGCTCGGTCATAACCTTAGAATGACATCTTGTCAGCCAATAGGAATACAGCAAACACTACTGACAAATAGCGAGACTGATGCCGACGTGCGTAATTGGACAAAATAGAAAACAATAAATGTAACAAGTACTTCATGATTTGCCGTCGTATTCGGCAATTGTTCGGGTAGGCTACAGCATTCAGGACTCCAAACCGGAACGAAATATATATTGAAACATTTTCAAGCTTATGTGAAATCTCTTGCTCATTTTGATGATATATATTGAACAAAAATAAAAACTTGACACATGTATTTTCTGAGGTGGAAAAAATCGAATGCAAATTTCGAAATATTGTACAGTCAGTGAACATTGTCAATAAACATTCGCTGCAACACAGCCAAACGTTTTCACCAAATGCCTTTATTGCACTTGCAAATAAAAAAAAACGTGGAAAAACACAAACCTTGGTGTTACCCCGACAAATTTGCAATCAATCAGGAAAGTGTTTGTCTGTACGGCTGGAGGTGATTCAGGAAAACAATTTAAAATTGGAATAATTTGAAAATTGTTGAAATGCCAAGACTGTCAAATCAGGACCGGTAGAGCGCCATTGGTAGGCTGAACGCTGGACAGTCTGTCACGGATGTTGCAGGTGCCTTTGGATGCAGTAGACAGACAATTCATAACCTGCTTCAAACAGGATCAACAGCTGATCGCCCACGGCCAGGGGCGCCCCGTGTGACGCCACAACGAGATGACGGCTGCGTCATCTTCGTAATCGATTTGTGAACGATACTTCCACTAGTAGAGAAATGTTCAATGGTAGAGTGACACCACGGACAATACGCAATCGTTTACAACGTGCAGCCACTAGAGCCCGGAGACCCTACACTGGACCCAGTTTGACTCCTGTTCATCGACGCCAACGTTCTTTTTGGGCGCGACGTCACCTGCGATTTACCCAAAGACAATGGAACAGAGTAATCTTTAGTGATGACTCACGTTTCACATTGCGTTTTGCCGACGGAAGAGTGAGGGTATGGCGTCGCAGAGCGGAACGACATGCTCAGTGCTGCGTCAGGGAAGTTGACAGGTTCGGGGGTGGAGGCATCATGGTGTAGGGTGCCTTCATGGCAAATGGACGTACTCAACTCATGATTGTTCAAGGCAACCTAACTGCCAGAGAATACAGTGCTCAGATTCTTATTCCCTTTCGTCTTCCTTTCTACAGGAAGCATGGCTCAGGTCTTACGTTTCAGCATGATAACGCTACACCTCACACTGCGTTTTTAACCAGAAATGTTCTGCAAAATGCTGGTGTTGACGTCACGGAGTGGCCATCTCGCTCACTTGACCTCAACCCAATCGAGGCGATTACGCATGCAAAGGGTTCAACCACAGACGTTGCAGGATCTGGGACGTGATTTAATGAATCAATGGCGTCGATTTCCGGTACGATTCTTTGTTCTTGAGTCTTGAGGTCAATGAGAGGACGTTGTGCAGCGGTACTAGCGTCTGACGGGGGTCACACACGATACTGACATTACTTTGATTGCCTTTGTTACCAGTGTGATTTCCTTTCCTGACAGTCACTATACATGCTTCATGCCATTGTATACTTAAAGTTAATTTCATAAGAACACATTTCACACTCCCTCTCCATCGATTCGTGACATCTGATCACCACTTTGACGTTTGCTCTTAAATACAGTGCTGTAAAATCCCGTTTTTCACCCAGCTTGAGTAGAATATTCCCAAGCTGTACAATTCATTAATACTATAAACAAACAATGACTTATTATGTTTGCTATGAGGAAAATGAAAGACTAAGTGTGTATATTGTATGTTGTTTGTTTGCAGCTGGCTTCCCTGGATGTGTCTTCGAAAGGCGTGGGATCAGTGGGCAGGTTATAACAGAAGAAAGCGTTGATATATTGGATGATTGTGCTGTCGTGTGCAAGGAAGACGCGAAATGCATATACTTCCTCTACATCTACATCTACGAGACGTGGGGCGGCTGTATTACCCACAAACGGATTCCTGACTGAATGTCAACTTTGTATCTTGCTTTATCACGCTTTCTCTCAGGACAAATCTTGTTATATTATCCAGACTGAGGTTAGCTGACAGTCCTGGCACGATTAAAGTCTTCGAAACCTGTATTCGTTGCTCTAAACTCAAATCTCACAAAGTATATCAGTGTAGTGGTTACTGACAAGTTGTCTTGCAAAGATTTTCGAAAAATGTGTGTTTAAATATGTTTCCAATTATCTAAGGGATAATAACTTAATCACGAACTTCCAATCTGGTTTCATGTCTGGTGATTCAACTACAAATCAACTAACGTATCTGTACGATTTCATAGCCAGAGAAATGGGTAAGGGAAAGGAAGTAAGGGCCGTTTTCTGTGACATTAGTAAGGCTTTCGACAAGGTATAGCACAACGGTATACTTCATAAAATTAAATCATATGGTTTAAGCGGCAACTTGTTACTATGGTTTAAGAGTTACTTAGAAAATCGATGTCAACGCGTTGTTATAAATGGTTATAAATCCGGCCTTAGACCAGTTCTAGCAGGTGTCCCTCAAGGATCAGTTGTCGGACCGCTATTTTCATGCTTTACATAAATGATATTGTTGATGACATTGATAGCAATATAAGACTTTTCGCGGACGACACGTCGCTTTATGTTATAGTCCATGACCCAGAAAAGCTGCGGCTTGTTTAAATGAGGATTTATCAAAAATATCTAACCGGGCGGAGGAATGGCAAAGTGATAAACACATAGCAACATTTGAACAAGATGGCCTCTGGCATAGTCATATCGAAACCATTTCAAAGAAGTTGGCCCCATTATGAACTGTCTGAGAAGTTTTAAGTATCGCCTCAACAGAAAGACTCTGGAAACTATGTACAAATCATTTATACTGCCTATTTTCGATTATGCCAGCCATATTTGGCACAATTGTACAAATGAACAAAAACCTATCCTTGGAAAGTTACACCACGGTGCAGTCAGAACTATATGTTCAGCTGTCCGTGGCACCAGTCATGATAAACTATACGATGAAACAAAATCGTACCTCTTTGGAAAAAAGGAGACATTCTCAAAAGATATGTATGTTTTATAGAATGGAAAATAATCTAGTGTCTCCTTATTTGTCACCTCTTTTACCAAATATAGTATCTGATTCAACCACTTATAATTTAAGAAACAATCCAAACTTCCAAAGTATTAATTGTAGAACTAGTAACTATGTCAAATCATTCCTTCCTGACACAGTCAATATCTGGAATACTCTACCCTCAGACAGTACAAGCGCTCCATCCCATGGCGAATTCAAAAAGAGATAAAAAAAGGACAATGTTACTAAAAGAAATTACTTCAATCTTAACTGCGGTTCACGATTCTGTCAGATCATTCACTCCCACCTCCGACTTTGTTGCAGCGATCTCAACGCCGACAAATTTAATAGATATATAGCTGAGAGACCAATGTGTAACTGTGGCTACCATACTGAAGACAATCTACATTATTTCTTTGTCTACCCCGATTATGACTTGATCAGACAAGATTTGTATTACTTTGTGAAAAACTTTGATTTAAAATCTGTCCTTTACGGTCATTTCAGCTCAAACTTAAAAACGAACATGGAAATATTGAAATCAGTGCACAGCTTTTATCAGGTAGATTTCCTGCTTTTGTAAAATACTGAGATATGAAACACATAACTCCAAAATTTCGCAAAGATGTAAAGATATGAAACATACATGTAATTAGATAATTTTGCCATATACCTTTTAATATACTGCCATAATTTTGATTGATATACGACATTATAATTGCTATATTGATTACACTTACCAACAACACTCAAATGATTATTTTATGATGTCACCAAAATTTTGCATAAGCCCTTGGCTTGTTCACCGATCCTCATTCTTGTATTTCGAAGTAGAAATATGTTTTAACTAGTGGTTACTCTATTTACTCAGAATCTATGTCGTTACAGTGTCAGGACCCCGTGTGGCACCACACGATAGACCATTGATGTCATTTTACCGTTCCATTTGGTTAGCGTTATCAAAAACTGTATAGCTCTGGATATTAGTTTGAGACTGAATCCCTTAACCGTTAATTTTGCTTAATGTAATCAAACAAGGAGGGGCTCTGTATTTCTGTTATTTTGAGACTTTCAGTTAGACCTACGAAAGGTCTGAAACGGTTATGTTGAATTCACAGTATATTATGTTTCACAACACCTTGTATGTCCGTGTTATTGTTTTTGGAAACTCACAGGACTTATATCAATATAGTGCCAACAACCCACCATTAGCTGCCTAGGTTCTTCAGTAATATTTCCCCAAAATGTGTTTATCATGTCTTAGGTTGTATTTTATCTTTTTATGAAAAAAGGGAAATGGCGTAAGAGATCTCCCCATTTGCAGATTTATTTAGAAAGTTGGGTAATGGTCACAAACAGATGGGCAACATACAGCTGGTATATACAACACGCCCAGAAAAACGCTACACCGGTCGGTTGAGACGAATGTCAATAGTAACACCACAGGGGTTGGGCTGGGAATGGGTTTGATGTGTACTCTGCCAATTATTGCAGAATATATATATATATTTAAATGACAAAGGTGAGACTTGCTAGTAGGACCAGCCTATTGCCCAGATGTATGGAGATGGCGGATGGAAGCCAAGAAATTACTTGAAGCTGTCTATTAAAGTCACCACTAAAGAGACATTTCTCTTAATAAAAGTTGTTGTCCCTGAGATGTTATCGTGTTGTTGATGCGAGAAAATCAAACCCCCGAGCACATTGTTAATGTGGGATGCTTTGGTGAGGTGAGGTGAAATTGGGTTTTACGTCGTGCTTGAGAATATTTCGCTCATGTGACGACGTGCATGCGTGTGTATGTGTATGTGCGGCTGCTTGTACTAGCCCAGACTGAAGCTGGTTTTATAGTGCTAGCTCACTGAGATACCATGCCGCAGTGAAGCATGAATACCCCACTCAGACACATTATACTGACTCCGAGCCGACCAGTCCTTATTGTATCCATTAATGCCGAGCACCAGGCAGGGACCAACAAGTACCATATTTTAACTTCTTGTGGTAAGACGCGGTCGGGGATCGAACCCGCGACCTTCCGCTCTCCGGGCGGACGCTCTAACCACTACACCACGGAGACGGCCTGGGATGCTTTGGTGTTTAAGCAGTGTCATACCTAGTCTATCGTGAAGATCCGGGTTAGAATTTGTCTTCAACAACCCATGCTTGTCGTAAAAAGGTGACTCATCCGACCGGGTGGTCACACTCGCTGACTTGGTTGACTGTCATCGTATCTCAATTGTGTAGATCGATGTTCATGCTGTTCACTGAATTGTCTGGTCCAGACTCGATTATTTATAGACTGCCGCCATATAGCTGGAATATTGCTGAATGCGGCGTTAAAAACAAACCAAGCAACCAATCACACCAAGTCCCCGATAACTGTCGATGCCATCATTTCATATGACAAACACATGTTGCTGGGGACATTTTCTATTCTGGAGTCACCGGCGCCACAGGACTGTTGACACTCAATAGACGATGTGCATGGAAACGAGGATTGCCAGTTGGAACTGACGTGAAAGTGGCCGCTGAGGCCAGACCAATTTTATTTCTTGTTTTACGGATCCGCCTGTCGTATTTTTTCAAGAATGAGAAAATAAATAAATAATATTCCCCACTCAAAGAATAAAATCCTAATGTTCTTATTGGGCAAAAATGTAAACATACAAGAAATTTTGTTTTTAGATTGTTGTTTGCCACATATACACTTCATAAATTGCCAAAAGTAACATAATTTGAGTATTTAGAAGGAATATTACTTTGACTGGTGATGTTATTTTTATTTTTTCCCCCTCCTGCCTTTAGGTTTTTTGTGGACAAAAATCCATAAAACAAGAAATAAAATTGGTCTGGCCTTAAGATGAAAAAAAATGTTTTCCTTCGACAATTATTGCAACAATGCACCTATTCGTTAAGCTGCCTTTTGCATAATTGAAATAATGTCTTCACGGAACACCAACACTCTAGTGTTTCTTACATTCTTTTGAAGACTTCTGTGAAATGTCAGACTCCTATTGTAACAGTAGCAATAAAACTAAGTTATAAGATAAAACCTTGGACCCCCTAGTCATGACATATTCCACTTCACTCGCACTATTTTGTATAAAGCTCGATAGGTGATAATCATTTAAAGTTGTATCTTTTAAAGCAAACATCAGAAGGTGATGAGACAAGAGGCTTACGGTACTAGGGTATTCCAGGAAAACATCCTTAGTTCGGATACATTGTAACACGCACGTTTCAAACCAGTCAATTTTCACTTTTTGTCGTGAGTTTCACGTTCCTTTAATGGAAATCACGTTCTCACGGCCAGTATACTAAATCTCACATTTTTCGTAAAAGTGCTTTCTAAATATCGCTATATGATGTTTTCAGATCGAATAACGACCGTACACTTGTCAAAAATACAAAAAACACCCGGCTTTAAATGGACCAGAAAAGCTCAGGGTTGATGTTACAAGTTACCCCCTTGACCACCGGGATATGATGACGCGTCTAGGTGAAAGGAAAGCTTACATTCGCAATGGGATACGTGAAATAACAAATGAAATATCCTTACAGTCTAGCCTGATGAAACTGGGATATTTCTGACTGCAGTCAAAGCAAGACCTCTATATACACTTCAAAAAGAAAAAGAAAAAAAGAAAGAAATTATACGTGCTGTATTGGAGTTTACTGAATGCATTTAACTGATTCAAATATGACATCATTGCTCAATTAGAGTAAAATCATCACTTTACAGATTTCCAAAGCATGATTATCCAGAAAGTGTTTGGTAAAACCACAGATGGCTGTTAAAGCCACTTGGTTAGAGTAAAGTATCTGGTGTGACCACCATGAGCATCGATAACAGCTTGGCAGCGGTGACCCATACAAGAAAGGAGATGCCGAATGCTGTCTTCAGGAATGTTTTGATACTCTTACTGAAGTGCTGTGTGCAGTTCTTGTGGCGGATTACGCTGGCGCAAGCGTCGATCAAGAGTACCCCATAGATGTTCAATGGGGGGCAAATTGGGTGATCGAGGAAGCCAAGGTAACACGTGAACATTGTTTTGCTGGAGGAAGTCCTGTCAAACACGTGCAACGTGAGGTTGAGCATTGTCATGCTCCAAAGATCAACCGGTGACGTTGATGAAGGGAACGAGGTGACGCTGAACTGGTCTTCTGGCAAAAAGTCTGGCTTCCCTTAGCCAGTTGCGCACTGTCTGGTCAGAGATTCGGTGCAGTCTAGGGATTTGGATTGTTGTTGACGATGCGGCCGTGGTACCTGGGCATGGGTCTGTCTTTTACACTCCCAGTATTGTTGTATCGGGTCCATAGGTTTGAGATGGTCTCTCTGCCTAGCCACCTGCTGCTGCTATGCCCGTCCTTGTAAAGGGCCGATGGCGTTGTATCTTGGAGCTTCTGTCAGTGTTTTCATTTTCTTGTCGTCTATAGTGGCTAAAAGCTATGCATGTGGAGTACCATTGATGTGGCTTTTTAAAACCTACAGTCAGGCTTCAGCTCAAGGTGATACACAATTTCATGATGCACGTGCATTTCATGTCGGGTGCGTTTTAACGATTCACTACAGACGTGAGTGTAACGTTTTTTGTTCAACGTTTCATTTTTCAAACGTTTTGTCGTCGGCAACCAACCCGCCACATGTTGGGATTCAGCATGGATTAGTTCGTGTCAAATATCTTCCAAAAATTCAAATTTTTCCTATGTATATTTTTTTTAAGAGTATATTTTTCCGTTTGCTACAGTTAGTGACAGCTATTATCGGCGAGTAAGTATTATGTCATTTACTCGCGCAATGCATCAAATTACTTAGACTCTTTGGAAAAACCTTTACAAAATTGCCGACAGCCAGTTGGGCTGCATTCTACATCAGCGATATTGTTCAAAGTATCTTTCATCCAAACTCACTCACTCACCACAGTGAACAAATAGGACTAACCCTTGTTCAGCCGGCTATCGTTACCCAACAATAAAACATATCACATAGTACTCACACAAACAAGAACACATGCATAATTGTATCGTCAGGAAAGCAATACCTCGGATTGGTTTACTCGATCCAAGTTCGGTGGAATTCCGTTTTGTGTACCTCACGATAAATGGCCAAGCTCTGGGCAAGTTCAATATATGTTTCTGTGTGGAATCAAAGATATCCGAGTTAAACAAGACTCTGTTTTCAATCATACCTTCACTCTGAAATGATAACTCTGTGAGAGTCTGACGCCCTCTTCATAGGAGATTACCAGAGATTAACCTGATTAGCCCATGATGGTTTCTCAGCCACCAGCACGGTGGAGAGAAGCTTTCAAAGAAGCATTTCTGCAGTGACCTTGTAATGGATGTGTCAAAAGGAGATTACAACAATCAAATTAAAAATACTTGTTTAGCATGTGATTGTGTTACAGCCACCAGCACGATAGAGAGAAGCCTTCAGAGAAGCATTTCTGCTGTGACCTTGTAATGGATGTGCCATATGCATAAGTCTCCCCATTCGAGGCACTATGGCTTCTTGTTCCAAAGGGTGGTACAATCAAAGTTACATCTATGTTCTGCCTCGGCCTTTTATTTTCTTAAAATCTAGACGATTCAGAAAGTGGAAACAAAAGGTTGAACAAAATCATTTATGTGATTAGCAAAAATTAAGATGTTAAGATTGAATTTCGTTCAGTATGTTCAATGTCACATATTCACCACAACACTAGTCCACCGTGCACACGCTACCAACCTTCACCGAGACACAGGAAAGTGATGTTGAGGTGGCAGGTGGCCATGCGGTACATGAAAGATCCTCTGTTGAGGTTCATTACGACACAGTCCGTTTCTTGTGATACAACTGGTTGTCCATCCTGCCACGGTAGAGATCCTGGTGAGTGTACAATCTCCCCGTCACCCCACTGGATCTTGCTCAAACTAGCGTTATAGTGAAGCCCATTCCAGATGTCATTGCTCCTGCAAATTATTATAGTGTTGTAGCGTATCTGCCATTTATGTTTTATTGGTAAACTCAAACGAGCATTAATTGTTTACCATCAACTCACAACCGCACGCTGTCATTTGCTGAGTCCACAACAACTTGTCGGGACTAGTTTATTATAGAGTTTAATGATACATACAAGGTATATACACGATAGAGAGAAGCTTTCAGAGAAGAGTTTCTGATGTAACAATAAATGGATGTTTCACACAGACTATCCATTGGGGGCGCTATGGCATCTAGTTCCAAAGGGGAGAACAATCAAAGTTATATCTTTGTCCTGCCTGGGATTTTTATAACGTAAACTCGATGTTTCCGAATCTATTCGATTCAGAAAATAACAATAAAAACCCGAAAGGTTTAAAAAAAGCATCTATGTGTTTAGCAAAAGTATTCTTTATTGAGATAGTAAGATCGAATTTCGTTCAATTTTCCGCAATGTTTAATGTTCAGTTTCACATATTCACCACGACACT